GCGGACACGACAGGGGGGACCCACTACAGCGCTTCGCAGCCCAGCTATCCCCTGCCCCCCCCCACTGCGGTAGCGGATTGCCTGCCGCATAAACCCACTGCTCGGGCGAGCGCCAGCCAGCTGCAGGGGCACAGAGAGCTCCGCATGGGGAGGGGTCACTCTGGTGTTCAGTCGAGGGGGCAGACCCAGAGGACTTACGTGTCTACTCCACCAGCAGTTCACAGCTCATTTTTCACACAGCGAAAGGTACCTGATGCTCCCAAGTAGCCAGCTCAGCCCCGGCCCCTCCGCCCGCGGGCAAGACCAAACACGATTGGCTGACCTCTGCCCTCCGCTGCCCGGGTGATACCATAGGGAGCTGCAGGCATTTCTAGAATGCCCTGGCCAAAAGCCTGCGCCTTGCCCAGCCTGTGGAGAGACGGGGCACCGCTCTCAGTGCCCCCAACACCCCGCCCACCCTCAGTCTTGTAGGGGTTTGCGAGGAAGCAACAGGAACCTTGACTCGTGACTGTGCCCCGTCACTGGCAGACACTAGGACGGGATGGGGCATTTTCTGGGACAAGGCTATTCAGATAAATCTCTGGGCGGGAAGCCCGTTTCCTTCCCAAGAAAGGGGCTGGCCGCTTGCTGTGCTGCTAGCGTGGGGCTGCTCATCCGAGTCCACGCTGCCAGACGTGAGCGCGTGCGGAGTCCATATCTGCGGGTTTGTTATTGTAGGGTAGCGCACTACCCTGGCCAGGGATGGGGCATTTTCTGGGACAAGGCTATTCAGATAAATCTCTGGGCGGGAAGCCCGTTTCCTTCCCAAGAAAGGGGCTGGCCGCTTGCTGTGCTGCTAGCGTGGGGCTGCTCATCCGAGTCCACGCTGCCAGACGTGAGCGCGTGCGGAGTCCATATCTGCGGGTTTGTTATTGTAGGGTAGCGCACTACCCTGGCCACAGAGAAGAGATGGTCAGTTTTGGGTGCCTTATGCTTGGACAGGGCCCCCTACCACTACCATACCCCAACCAGACCTCTTGTGCCCACAACTGTGTCCCCACACCCTCAGCTTCCCGCTCAGGCAACCTACCTGCTGCAGTTCGCTGATGAGCTTGTTCTTCTCCTCGATGAGCAGCGCGCACTGCTGCTGCTGCTGGTTGAGCACTTCCCACAGGTCCTGCGGGATGGTCTTCTCCCGGGCCGAGCCCCATTTCGAGGTGATCTCTTCAAACTTGTCCTGGTTAGTCTTGGATTCATTCTCCAGTTTCTCGAGCCTGCAGGGAGCAGCCAGCACAAGCCTCTTAGAGCCATCCACGCTGACGTTATGGTACAAGCTTTCTGGGCAGCCAGCGTTAGGGGCTAACTCGCTTTCAAACCAAAGGGTAGACAAGAGCTGAGCAAGGCAACAAGCTTTACTGCAGCCCTAAGGATAGGCTCCGTCCCCAGCTAGGGAAGGCTCCGTGCACTAAGCACCAGGGCTCTGCAGCCAGTATGTACAGTAGACTGCCGATAATCCGGAACCTTTGGGACCTAGGTGGTGCCGGATTATCGGATAAGACGGACTATGAGGATGTAGTATGAGCTGGGGATACTATGTACAGTAGTGTGCAGCACTGGCTAATCAGTTACACCAGTGGTCCCCAACGCGGTGCCATGGCGCCCACCGGGGCATTTATGTGTGCCAGCCGAAACATCTGGGCTGGTGCCAGCCTTGGGTGCAGGATGCGTGGGCGGCCCCTGCCTCGGGTGCGCGGCACATGCGTGGTGCCAGCCCAGGGCGCGTGGGTGGCCCCTATCCCCGGCGCGCGGCACATGTGCGGTGCTGGTCCCGGGTGCATGCGTGGCCCCTGTGACGTAGTGGGGGGGAACTTGCTAACCCCCACTGGCTTCCCTGGGTACCAGCCCAGAAGGACAGACCATGAGTCATTATGCAAAGAGGGACGAGGAGTCCTGTGGCACCTTATAGACTAACTGAAGTGTTGGAGCAGATGGACACAAATCTGATATTAGGAATGGCAACATACAAAAACCTGTAGGGGAACACTTCAATCTCCCTGGACACACAATTGCAGATCTAAAAGTACCCCCATCTCAAGGGGGGCACTGAGGCCTCTTAGCCCCAGTTCCTGTAACCAGATTACATCTGTGCTGTGCTGTGTCCTGGAGAAGCATTAAACTACCTCCATTCTCCTGGCTGGTGGAGTCTGTTTGTGCCATTTCGGGGGTGCAGGAGACGGGGGACCCCAACGCGCCGTCACAGCCCCGCCCCCGGCAGCCATGAAAGGTTGGGGACCACTGACTTACACTATTAATCACTTAAACTATTAATATAGTAACTTAAAACACTTAATACAGCGCTTTATTTCCTTAAACACAAAAATGATACACTCAGCACTAACACAGTCTGTAAATTATTCACTTAAACACTCACTAGGCTCTTGCCATTTTGATGCCAGACTATCGAGAGTGCTGTACAACTGGATGCCGGACTATTGGAGTTTTACTGTACAAGGCCCTGCGAACATGGCTGCAGGAAAAGAAGTGCCCGGTCTATCTCAGAGCCCTGGGAATGCGCCGGATTGAAAGGGAGCACATCGCACGCGCAGAAATTGGTCAGAGGGAAACACTCCTCTGGCGAGCTGGGTCTGTCAGGAGACCAACGTTGCAGCAGCCGCATCGTTACCACCGCTAAAGAACTCCAGTAGCAGTGGCGTCAGCATTAGCAGAAGATGCTGGATCTGTAGCCGGTACAATACACGCTTCCCTCCCACCCAGCCCAGGCAGTGACACTCCACCTGGGCTGGATGGGCCCTTGCCAGGGACCTTGGGGAAGTTTTCTCTTTCCTAATGAGACTTCCAGCACCGCTTCCAGCCCAGAGATGGTCGCAGGTCATCTAGGAACTAGCCCAGGACAAAACCATTGCACGCGGTCCCCTCCCAAAGGCTCACTTTTCATAGCAGCCCCTTTGCTCTCCGGTCCCCACAGGCTCCTGTGGAGTGCCATGAAAATGACTGGGTCCATTCAGCAACGCTGGAATTGTTTGCTCGTGACAACTGGCAAGTCCCATAGCAGGGGGAGGAGGCTGAACAATCAGGCTTCATCAGTACAGTCCCAGAGGAGAGGCCAGTGAGGGTGGTGGCTAAGACAGCCTGCAGGTCACCGAGTTCTCACAAGCAATCGCCATCCCCTTCCATCCCAGAGTGCGGGCTGAGGAAACTACACAGGCCAGCACGCAGTGCTCATTCCAGAGCCAATCAGGCAGGCTGCACGGCATGCTGGGACCTGCCACCTCTCCACACCCGCCCTGCCTGTTACAGAGAAGGGTGGCTGCAGTTTGCTCTTAAGTATGTTAAGCGCAGTTCTCGCCTCCCAGCGAGTTGCCAAAGGGCCCCAGGCTGATCAGCGTGTGGACAGCCCTGGCCTGAGCTGGTCATTGCAGGATCTGGCCCGGGAGCAGCCTTCCTACAAGTGGCACAGCAGAGACCTGGGATCTCTTACCTCTGTCGCTTCAGTTCATCCTCCTCAGCCCTCCTGTGGGTCTCCCTGGCATCGGCAGCCACCTGGATATTGGTCACAAGCTGTGTGCCATCGTGGAGCAGCTTGGCCAGCCTCTGTGAACACAGCAAAATGACAGAGCACGCCCCCAGGCCAAGGGGCTCCAGGGCTACCTGGCTAGCATTCTTCAAACCTGGCCAATAGTTTGGCTCCTACATCCCTATCTAGGTACCCAAATAAAAGTCTGGCCATCTGCTGCTTCTATGGAAGAAAAAAGACTCGTTTTGAGAGGACTCCCAGCATGGAGCCCTTTGCCTCACCAGGCACCGCACAACAGGTATTGTACTGGGAGGCGCGGTGTGGCGTGTGTGCTGGCCAGGCTGTGAGTGGAGAGCTGGAAACAGGCGGCGGTTTTCAGGAACTCCTGAAGGTGAACATGTAGAAGGAGCTGGGGGTGCTGCGGATTTCTCAGGAGCATATGGGCCGCAGAGGCCCCGGCACAGGGACGTGTTTTTCAGAAACGAGTTCCCAACAGTACAGCTCATGTGACTGTGCTTTGTCAAAAGACACAGCGCCACTGGGATGCCAAAGGCCACCTGAAAAGGAGTCTAGAGCCAAATGTGACTCAGTGGCCCGCACTGATTGGTCCTGACCTGCCTGCTTTCTTCTATCTGTTTGTGGCTCCGGCTGAGCTCTTCTGCCTCAGCCTTATTCGCATCTGGATCTTCTCCGAGGGCCTCCCTGTGCAGAGGGAAGAGAAACTCTTTAAAAGCGCCACTGGGATGCCAAAGGCCACCTGAAAAGGAGTCTAGAGCCAAATGTGACTCAGTGGCCCGCACTGATTGGTCCTGACCTGCCTGCTTTCTTCTATCTGTTTGTGGCTCCGGCTGAGCTCTTCTGCCTCAGCCTTATTCGCATCTGGATCTTCTCCGAGGGCCTCCCTGTGCAGAGGGAAGAGAAACTCTTTAAAAGCAGGCCACCTTCCATACCTTAATGAGCCGGGCCACCGAGTGAT